ACATGCTAGTTAGTACCAAACTAAACTTCCCTTAGAACGGATTAATTTAAAAGCTCTATTTTTAACCATTCTTTAATGGTATTTATCAGGCACTTCAGCCACACCTTTACCAACATGCTAGCTTTCCTTTTTCAGTTTGCACAAGGTAGGGTAAGGTATTTCTCCCCATCACAGAACAAATTAACAACTTAAAAAAAAAAACCCAAGAAGTCTTTAATTACATATAAAAGTGAATGAAAAAGAAAAAAGAGAGTGAATAGAAAGCCAGTCAGTCAGTTTGTTCAACAATTAGCAACAACTGAAGCACAGCTCAGATTTGAATAAATGAGACCGAACTTCCATACAAGTTAAAAAAAATCTTAAAGTGATATCATGTTAACACTTCCATTATTATAAAGTTTTCATATAGTAGGTGTATTCCCCATAAGAATCAAAACAAGAAAACGTTAATGCTGATGTACAAGCCTAAAAGCTATATTTACACCATAATTAAGCAACACCATTTGTGATAATCCATGAGCTCCATCTTGACAATCCTTTAAATTAAGAACTGCAGTTCCCTGGGAAGCAATAATAAAACTGCAGTTCTCAGGTCACCAAGACTAAAGTTATGAAACTATTAAAGCAAATGGACATCTAGTTTTATCATTATATAGGTGCTTATCCAGACACTTAACAACGTTCACAAATTTAGACATTGCAAGTCAACACAAGATTGATCTCTCTTTTTAACTGGTAAAAAAAGTGCTACAAGCCAAGACCAACAGCATAAATGGAGATAAATATACTTTGTTTAAACAAGGGCGTGGACAAGCATATACTATATTTTCTTGCCTATAGCTCACCACATGGCCCTGGACCCACAGGCCCAGATCAGTCTGTGGGTCTCACCTGCTGCGCAGGGCTAGCAACAGGCTCAAATCCCTACCTGGTGCGACTAAGATACTCACCTAACGGAAGACCTTTTTTTCCCCTTTGTGATACCTTTTCAAAGAAAGAGTGTGCGCTATATTCAGGGCTGCGTTTTATTCAAGAAAATGCAGTACTTGGTGTGGCTTCCAAAGGGGAGGGGGGCTGTTGCCCCAGGGCACACTGTTACACTATAACTTATGTATGCCCAAGCCTGTAGAGGTACAAGCGAGCTACATCACTTCAACTTGAACCCAGCTTCATTTAGGGTTAAAGTTGAAGCAATTTTGCTACTGTCTATATTTAACTGTTACAGTGTCTGGAGCAGCAGCTCCCTCTTCCCTTTCGAATTTGCTCCAAGCATACTTTTGTCCATAATTGATATTTTGATTTTCAGCAGTCTATGGTCTTGATAGAAGACAAGTTCAAGGCTACTATAGTTCTACACTAATGTTAGCTTTAACCAGCAGATGGCATTCTTGAGCAAGATTTCTCTTTTAAAGAGGACACCATCTCCAAATTACCCACTTCATATATATTTGACCTTTTTCTGATCCATGTAAAAACTTGCCAGTAAATCCAACAGGATAACCACATTAAAAAAGCTCACATCTTTAATTTGACCTTCAAATGCTTTATTACACATCATCATGTCACATTTTGTGACATTATGCCAAGAAACAAGCCAGTAAGTTTAGTTAACATGTGGACTGCCTTTGTTACAGTTCCAAAAAACTATTACAGCCACCATGGCTCACGTGATTTGTGTCATAACTGAATTACAGTGGCTGAAACAACACTACTCCCAAAGAAAGTGTAATGTCTTTTTACAGAGATGCATTTTAGCATTCAAGTTTTATTAATATGACAAGTGTTGGGGAGCTGATGGCAACAGAGGAAGAAGAAAAATACCTTACTGTATTTTTTGAGTGCCATCTCATATTTCCAGGGGAAGCTGACTGCATATACATGGATTTTGGGATGTATAGGATTGCTTACCTACTGTAGAACAGAATATGCAGTGTTAGCTTACCTACCGTAAGGTACTCTGCATAGTAGGTGCATTCGCATTATATCTGGTCACTCATGTCTACGGTTATTAGACCACAGAGAACAACCAGTTCATACAGTTTAGAAGTCTGTTATGCAACTTTACACAGTTCAAGGCAGTTACAGGAGGGCCTCAGACTTCACTGAAGTCTAGTAATAAATGTTTTTACATGCATCTTTACAGTGTAATGGAGGCATGCAAGGTATACTATTGAAAAAGCAGTAAGTTATATATGTTCATCATAGAAAGTCTAACGCATTATTATTACTACTACTCACCACCCTCTTTATCTTTCTGGAGTTTTCTCTTAGTGAGATTTTCTGGCTGCTGTTTGCTCTTGAACTGATTCTTACCAACTTTACCAGGTTTTTTATTTCCTCTCTCATATTTCTTCTTAATGAACTTAAGCTTTCCTGCCTTGTCCCCTTTGCTACGAAACTTCTTGGGAGGACCTGAATCTAGTCAAAAAAAATCAAAAATAGGATCAGAGTGAAGGAGACATGATCATATTACTGAAAACATTTTTAAAAAAATTTCATCAGAACAGTTTAAATATTCATTATAACAACAACCAGGCTGCACACAGTAACACAACACAACTACTTGCATGCCTGTACCTCTCCAATACAGATTTCACAGCATAGCCTTAGTTGCCCTCCTAGTTTTCTCTTAAGTTTTCTAGAGCACAGGACAGGAGTACAGGAGAAAAGAAGAAAAAAAAAAGCTACCTTATATTGAAAACATTCATGGATTCTAATGTGTCAGACCCCAATCCTTCATATACCCATGTAAACACCTAATTAAAACCATTTTCTATACATTTTAAAAGGTATTTGCTATACATTTTAAAAGCACAATTGCTTGCCATCCGTTATCAGGTAAACGCACTACTGGAATACCACAGGTGTTGAAGTGATGGCACAAACTGGCAGCAACTAAGCACTTAATCTTCCTTGAAACTCATTTCCAATTGTACAGATTGGACTGTTTTACTCTCGAGTTTCTTATTTCCTGAAAACCTCCAGTAACTATTACCAAAATTGTTTGCTTATATTATTTGGGGATGATAAAGAATCACAACGTAATTTAAATAGGGGCAGGGAGCATAACATTCATGGACACACAACCTATGCGTACACATTTCACATATAAATTCTGTGTTAATATCTTTCAGGGTAGATAGCTTTAAATCAAAGTTTCAAAGTGTACTTCAAATTACTTCCAAGAATAGTACATCTTTGGTGGTTGTAAATCTATATATTCTAATAGTTTATCAACAAAACCAAGTCTTTTACATTATGCTTGGTACATTGTACCCTCCTAGATAACAAAGAGAGAGAACTGTATACTTCTATTTAAGAATATGTAAGAGAGAGAGATTAGATTTTTAGATTAGAGATTACACTTTTAGATTATTGTTCTAATTTGAACACCATTAGAAAATAGTGAATGATACTGCTTATTTATTAGGCAACTCACATTTGCTAAGGCAGCTGCACTACAACTGCTGACATTACTAGCACAAAACAGGATATAAAGTTTAGTTTTAAGCAAGCAAAATAAATCTCAAATGCTTTTAAATAAACAAACAAGCATGTTTTGCATTTACTACTAATAAAGCCCTTATTACAGAACTTGGCAAACTGCATATATTTCTAGAGTTTGAGTTCAAGTTATATTTTTCCTAGCCTTCTTTACATAGAAAAGCACCCACCCTGTAACTCAGCCACTCATTAAAATCACTTTTTAAAATTTAAATGCTTATAGCTAGTTAAGTAATATATTATATAATGACATTAGTCACCATTAATATTCTGTTGTCTTATTTGCTTTTAATAAAAAGCTCTTTAAAAATTTAAAAATTAAAAAACTCAAAACAAAAATACCTAATTTAAAATAAACTACTGTTTAAATCATTATTTTATCAACCCTGGAACCTTTTTATATTAACCTGAACTACAAATACCTTTTCTACATAAAAGCAACTTTGTAAACATTCGTGTGCCATCTGATGATAATGCTCAATAAATAGGCAAAATAGTTAAGATGACAAACTTGAGATGAGACACCCTAATCCTAACTTTGCTCATTCTACTTGCAAGACTTTCTTAAGCAGAGACTGCAGTGACTGTTGCCCCACAGGCTGAAGGCATCTGGGAGAGTGTGGACTTAAATATTTTCAAATGTTACACTCATATATTTTAAAATCACGTATTCAGAATTGAGGAGATGCACACATGGGTTGTTTTGTTATTTCAGCTCCTTGTTTTCCACACTGTATTTTTAACCTGTTGACCACGATTAACCTACTTGAATGAATTACAGTTTCCTATATAAAAATGTATAATACTATTATAGCAATTTTATAAATTACTATAAATTACTGTGCTGCATCCTTCACATCCCCAATAAAACTGTTTTTGAAAATATTCTTCCCGTCTTACCGTTGTCTTTTTTAAATTTGCTTTTTCCATGTGGTGCTTTTCCACTCTTTCCTGTGAATTTTCTTTTACTTTTGGCTTCCATAGTGGCAGCACTGCAAAATACTGGAAAGGAAGGTACCAAAACAACTGGTAACTAGAAGTAAAGCATCTATTACAGTTCAAAAGCATAACAAACTCTAAACACATTAAAAAGCCCTGTTATATGGTCAGACATAACCACTGAAAATTCACTACCATACATATACTGTAAATAAAAGTATAATCAAATACTTTTAAGTTGCACTTGTCTCAAATTTGTAACTACATCTCTCATTACAAGCAATTACCAAAGCACACAAGTGTTCCATCAAGCCCTATGAATGTTAAGTTAACGTGAAAACTACTGTCAAAACTTCGAGAATTCAGGAATTGTTGAGGAAGAAGTCCATAGTAATTCCATTAAGTCTTAGATCAGGAATTTCATTAAAAGATGTGTCTTCCACCTGAAAAAAAATGGCTAGGTGTCATTAAGCGACTCATCTCTCTACCTTTACTTGGGTATAGTAGGGACCATACAGAAGGAAAAAGACCATACTTATATTTTCACTATCAACAGTCACGTAAGATTACTTATTACTACTATTATTATAATATTTCTGAAGCCTACACTACATAAGGAAAGAGTTTGTAGTATTAATATTCAATATAAATTTGCCTTCCCCTCAGAATTTTCCTTATGTTCTTGAATTTTGCCTAACGTAGCAGGCTGAGCATTAAGTAAAAGCTACATACTGGGTGCATTTACACAAGACATTTACTGTGTAGACTAATTAACTCTCCAGTAAATGTCTGGCATCTACATGTGCAGCCCCATTAGGCCTCAGGAAACAAATTCTGCAGCAGGGTAGTACTTGTATTTACAAGTACTATCTTGCTATGTATTTTTTTTTGTTTTACTTCTCAGAGAGGCACGTGTAAATGCCAGAGGGGCTAGCAGGGGCACAAGTGTGCTTCAGTGCAGGGGGGTGCCTGATGGCTATCTCCATAATGGAGCACCCCATGCCCCAGCCAGCTCCTATGCAGCCTGTTTTGCTAGGCTGGAGCAGCTCTGGGCCAGCAGGCTAACCATTTCCCTCCCCAGCCTGACACCCTCTGCCAGCCAGGGCTGCTCCAGCATGGCTCAATGTGCTGCAGGGTTCTAGGTGCACATTCAAACAGCACACCTGGGAGCAATAAACTCCAGCATGCTATGTGCTGAGTTTACCACTATGTGCCAATAGCACATGTAGACACACCCACAGTGTACTCCATTTAGGTATACCACCTTGGCACTGAAAGAAGGCTGTGCATGTATGCAAACTAAGTGCAAGTAATGCTCATTTAATACACTAACTCATATCACTCACTACCAGCAGGGTAATGTTTGCAGTCTCAGAACTGGCTAGCACTTGTCACTTTCAAGATTTCTAACAATCAGTTTGTGGCTGCTCTTAAAACCTTAAAAATGACATTCACCATTCCCTGCATCAATTATTATGCAGTTAACTGGAATATAACTGCATTACAAAGTAGACAATGGGACTACAAGAAGCACCTTAAAACAGCTCATGAACTTATCCAAAGTGCAACTAACCGATGTTTGCGATCACAAAAGAAAAAAAAAGAAAAGAATAGTGTCTTAGTGTCATAGAGTTAAGCAAATTACACACTGATCACACGCAGGTAGAAAGCACAAGTGATATTATTAAGACTTCTTAAGGTTTCTGCTTATTAACATGGAATTTTCCTGCTTCTGGCCAAGATCAGATTCTGCAATGAGCTACAAAACAGACATGCAAGGAAGGTGAATACAAGCAGCACATAGAACCTTATTTACTCATTCTTATTTTCAGGACCGCTCCAGAGCTGGCAAGGCACCTCAGAGAATACCATAAAAGGCACTGTTCGAATCCACTGTCTCTAGGACCAAAGTGAAGGTGCTGCAGACTAGTCTGAAAAAAGTTTGAGATCCACCCACTATGACTTCCATGAATTGAGTGGCAAGACAAAAAACAAATTGGTTTATTTATTACAAGGTTTACCTCCTCGTGGAGGAAAGTGGGCAGTGGAAATGGAGAAGCAGGTCAGCAGGGAGAGCCTGAACCTGTCCCTAAACTGTTTCTCTCCTCCCACTTTGCTGATCATATCACACTTACTGTTGCACCTTCCAGGGATTTGGTGGGTAGCCCACCCCCCTGGTTGAGAATCACCAAAATAAAGAAAACAAAAACAAGAACTGGAGAATTGGGTAAATCCATAAAAGTTAGAGGTCTCGCTCCTGCAAGTGCTCTTCCGTGTGCTCAGCTTTGAACAGGCTAAAGGGAGGTTGTTGGCAGTGTTAGTCTGAAGCCAGTCAGAAGGCAGGGTAGATTTATACGTTTACAAACTAATGAAGATGGGGTGGGGGGCTGAAAAATATAACTTCAACTCTGCATTCACAGCGCTGGGTTCTGAATTAGCTGTTATGACTTGGGAAACAGAGCTTGGAGTCTGCCTAGATAGCTCCTTAAAAAACCATGGGCTCTGTGCACAGTGGTGACCAAAAACACCAATAAGCAGGACATCCTTAAGAAGAGAATTGAAAATACAATGGAAAATTGTATTGTTCTATTATGCAAACCCAAAAATATCTGGAATACTGCCTGGAGCTCTGGTCCCCACATCTCCAAAAAGATGGCAGGATTAGAAGAGGCATAGAGAAGGGCAACCAAGATAAACATGGGCCTGGAGCTGCTGCCAAACCAAGGCGGGGACCAAAAAGGCTAGGCTGCTTCCCTTGAAAAGGGAAAAGCAAAAGGGGGAAGATGAAAGAGGCACAGAAAATCATGAAGGCTGTGAACCAAGTAAACAGGGAACTGTTGCCCATCAGGGCCCAGAATGCTAGAGGTAGGGGGCACCCTCTGAAACCAAGTAGGAGGCAGGTTTAAAACAAAGGTTTTTTTGGTTTTTTTTTTTGAAGCCACGTGTAGTTCACTTGTGGAATTTACTGCCATGGAAATGGGTAGAGGCAGGCAGCACAGCTGGGTTCCACACGGGCGAGAGCCATCAAATGGAACAGTTGGGAAACATTTCCTTCTCCAGCATCTCTGCCCCAACAAACAGCAGATGCCAGGGAAAGGACTGACAAGGTCATAGATCACTCCAGAGTAGGGGCAGGCAAAGTCTTGCCCATGGGCTGGATCAGGTGGACTCCATCTCACAGTCTGCATCACTTGGAGATCACAGGAGCAGCAAGGTTGTGACAGTGTGGGGCCAGGATTTCCACAGAGACCAGCCCCAGCAGTGCTGACTGGGTGGGAAGCTACTCCAAAGCTAGGCTCCTGCAGCAGTGACAGCATGGCCGAGCTGGGACACAGCCACAATCTGCTGCCCACACACCCCAGGTGGGGATGTGCAGGTAGCGGATCGCGGCTTTGCCCCGTCTCTGGCCCACACTGACACTGCTACAAGATCCCAGCCCCAGCCTCAAAGCACCTCCCTGCCCAACAGTGCACACTGCTAGCACTGCTGGGGCTGGTCTGCATGGAAACTCTGGCCCCACACTGTCACAGTGCCTATGCTACTGGGGTCTCCATGAAAACCAGCCACACGGATGGGGGCAAGAGCTGCTGGAAAATGAAGTCTGCCACCTGCTCACTCTAGTTGTAACAGTAATGATGCAGCCTTATCCCACATGGTTCAGATCTGTAGGTCTGCTTGTCTATTCGTCTATGGACGCTGCTTGCAGCACCGCATGCAGTGAAGTCAAGGTATCCAGTGTCCATGCCTCTGTCCTCCTGCCCCTGCAAAACCTAGAGCGCTTATTACACAACAGCAAAACAGCGATATAGGATGAAGTAAAGTGAGTTGCACGATCTAAACTAACCCAGTTAGTTCTGCCTGACCAGCGATTAGCCCCAACCAAGCTCCCCGCGCGCCGCTTGTTCTCCGCTCCGCGCGGTTTGCGGTCCTGCTGCTTCTTGTTGACAGCACCACCTCCCAGGGGCTGCAGCAGTACTCGAGCTGCCCGAGCCCGGCCCTGGCCCCACTGCCCGCCAGCCCCCAACTCACCCGCACGCACGTGTCTCACACTGCTCCACTCCCCAACCCTCGCTTGCCTTGCTTGACGGCTGCTTCCGGAGCCCCTGCGTTCCGATTGGCCGAGCGAGCTGAGACCGCGTAATAGTGCCGTAAAGCACCAGGAGATGAGGGCGGCCATCTTAGCCCCACCCCTTCATTAGCACGGGAGGTGCCTTCCTTTTAGAGGGAGCTGGTGCTGATGGGCGGGGCCACGATCCGGGGGGCGGGGCTCAGGGGGACGCCGTAGTGGCCAGGAGGCGGGGTCAGGATGAGGCACCGTGACGTGGGCAGCAGCTGCTTTTGCTCTGGGGTCTGGAGCCCAGGCGGGGCTGTGGGGGCCCACGTGACACGCGCGCACACCCATAAGCACACCCGTGTGCATACACGAACATACGCCAGTTCTCTACTCCCCGCGTCACCCCAGCAGCGCAAAGCTTGGCCTAGAGGTTTGAGGCCTGGGTCGCACTCCCTTAGCGTGAGGGGCTGGAGCCCACGTCTCCCGCTCACAGAACGCTGGGAGCAGTAGGCTGAGGAGGGCCTCTGTGGGGACAGGCAGCGCCCCTCCCTCTACTGCCCTCCCCCGCGGCAGGAAGAGCCAAAGGAGTGTCGCCCCCACTGTTGACAGCTGCGGGGTGCCATGCTGCAGGGCCTGGCTCTTGGTCTCCAAAGGCCAAGGAGCCTAGCAGACATGGGCCCGGAGCGGCTGTGCTGCAGGAGGAGAGGAGAGGAAAGCAAAGCCGCCAGTGGAGCCCACACTTGGCCCCAAGAAGGCCTCCAGTCCAAGAAGGGGTGCTGGTGGGATTGAACCACAAAAGCCTGTATTTCCAGCGCAGGGCAGGCTCACCTGTCCTCCTGAGTGCAAGGGCTGGCAGTCTTCCAGGGGCCAAGGCTGGGCCTCAACCCTGAGGCACCAAGGCTGGGAGGGCTGGGCCCTCTGAGGGACCCCATAGTGGGTGTTGCCCATGAAAATTGGAAAAAATGGAAAAAGGCACTGCAGGTTGGGCCATGGCCCAGGCAGACCAGGGTCCTATAGTCTTCCACCCAGGAGGCTAGCAAGCCTGTCACTGCACTGCTGCAGGGGGTCCAGGGCCAGTTCACAGGACTCCTTGATCAGCGACACCTGAGACAGCTGGGAGAAATTTTTTAAAAAAAGAAAAAGACCACTGCTAGCTAGGAGGTGGCTGACTGCTGTTTGCTGACAGTCAAGTAGGCCAGCAAGACTACTACTGTAGCCAAGGGCCCATACTGGTCCTCTCCCACTAGTACTTCTTGAACTGACTGCAATCCATGAGGCCTTTTACAGTGAATGGGAGTGCAGCCTAGGGCTTAGGGTGCTTTCTCAGGAGAGCAGCGTAGTGGAGCCTGGGCCCTGCTCCCAGGACAAATGTGTCTGTGGGCTGGATCAAACTGTGTTTTATGTGGAATTGTTAGGGGTGAACCTAGATCTCCCTCATCTCCATGTGGATGCCCTAACCACTTATGGTCACGCTCCCTTGTGTTCACATTCTTTCATCCAGCCAGAAAGAGGGGAAACTGCCCCTATCTGGAATAGCCTAGAAGTCATCAACTTTTTAACCTTTTTGGGGTCAGAGGCAAGTACCAGGCAGTACAAACCAGCCTCTACCACCACTTTTCCCCACAGCCGCACAGGAGAACAACTGATGCCAAAAACCGCACCACCAAATGCTGCCAAAACCCTGTGTCTGTAGGCTGGATCAAATGTTTCCACAGGCTATAGGTTGCTGGGCCCAGGGCTTAATAATGGTTAAGATGGTCTCCTGGGAAAAGTAGGTTGACCTCTCTCAGTCTGAGGAGGACATTACACTCAGGATTCCCACTTTGTGGGCAAGTGCTGTAACCAAGGCTAGGCACTGGCAGTACCATAACCCTTACTTCCCCCTCTGCCTGTATTTTTAAAGAGATAAGTGGGCTGTTCTTAGAAAGCTTGGAAACATCTACCTCAGAAAAGTTTTCAAGCATGGGTTTTCAAGCCAGAGGTGCCTAATCCTCAGAGAGAAGTGGTTCAGACACACTGCTGTCCTCAGCAGTTCCTGTTGGGTGGCTTAGGTAGATCCTTGATCATTGCCTAGGCTGCTTCAGAGCCTATTCTAAGGCAACTAAGTTTCTGCATAAACTATACAAGAAGCGTTATCAATCACCTAATACAGAATTCTAAGCCTGCATGATTCATGCAGCAGCACCTAGCTTTTAGGCACCAATGTCCTTTATTGGATGTGACCCTTAATTCCCCTTCAACTCAGGGGTTAGGTATTTAAATATCTTTCAGAACCTGGGCTGTAAAGCCCTGGTCTTTGCCCTGGAGGAGGATGTAGGTCTTTAGCTGAATAAATTACTACATGAGCCTTGACTTGTGAACTAGTCATTTTTATAAAGATTGCTTAATTATGGTAATTAAAGTAACAGTGTATATCCAGCATAAAAGAATGCCACAGAACTTGCTGTAGCATATGTTATAGTTGATACAGAAACCATAATAAAGAAATGCATCCTACACTTACGAGAAGAATATATATATGTATATTCTATACCAAACAAGCAATTTCGCCCGTGTTACAGCATTTGTTTTATATCTTCACCTATATTTTCATTGCTTTAAATAAATGTGTTTTCAAAAGATAATAGAAATGAATAGATTTAGAGAAAGGAGTTATGGGATTAAGGCCAAAGTCTGCTTCTATTCAAATCAATAGTGAAGAAACCCATTTGATTCAAAAGTTGCAGGATTGGGACTACAATAATAGTCTACTAATTGTTAAAGTGTACGTACTATAGGTTATTAGGTATGGATGTATAAAGAAAACTAAGATTGAAGATTTTTTTCAGCCTACAGTAAAATAAATTAATTCAATGTGTTTTTTTATCAATGAAATTTTGAACCGCTAAAAACTTTGTATGTCCCTTTTTCCAAAATCAAAGATAGCTATACTGTGAATACCTGTATATACCTCTCACTACCAGTTAAACCATGAGTGCTTTTGTTATGGCAGATAAATATTCATGACTGTGCAACTCTTACACATGGTTTCACCCTCTGCTCCTCCCCAAGTCTAACTCCATTTATAATTTGACCTTTGAATTTGCATATTTGAAGAAACTGAATAGTTTACCAAATATTGTGATCAGCTGAATTCTGATCCATCTTTATGGAGAGAGGGATTAAAATGAGATATGTGGTTTAAACTGCATTTAATCAAATTTTCACTACTTTAAAAACATATTTGTGGTTATTATTTATTTTAATAAACTGATTTTATGTCTTTTAAGTATACACATCCAGACAATGACTAAATCTTGTTCATTCTTTCTGAATGACATTTCTAAGAAATAGATTTTTACATCCACATAGCTGAAATACTTGTCTCAGTTTGGATCATTTCACATCTCTACTGCTGCAATATTTATCTCTGGCCTTGAAAAAATACATCATTCTCCCATGTATATACCCTTTCAGAATGCTGCTATGAAGATTACTGTATTTTCTAGCATACAACATGCCCCAGGATAAAATGGACACCCTGTTTTTGAAAAGCAGAATGAAGAGGAAAATAAAGATGTTTTTCCAGAGTGGCAAAGCAGGTACAGCCTAATCTTCAGTCAACTCCTCCTCCCTCTTCTTCTCAACTAAAGCTGAAATACTAGTTGCTGGTAAAGACTGGTCTCCATAGCTGGATTTATTTCTAAAAGAGTTGCCAAGGCTATAGAATAGGAGAAGGAAGACCAAGGGCAGCTGGCAAACAGCAAAATTGCCCTAAGAATAGCTTTATGCATAATGCATTGGCATAATGCCTTGAATAGTAATACCACAGCTCCTGAACTGTAGATTCAGAACCAAAGCAGATTGTTTCTATCCCAGGCAGAAACATTAGCTTCCCCACTTAAAACACACACCCCAATTTTGGGGGCTGGTTTTGTGGGAAAACTTGTGTATTGTATAGAAGAAAATTTGGTATTTTCCTAGCCCATCATTTTGACTGTGTCATCCTTCTCTGTATCTGATTGCTGGCTCCCCTCTCGCTATCATGTAAGCTAACAGTCTTCACTTTCCAAGCCTCTTCCAGGCCTATCCCCATCCTATCAGCCATCTTTCATGCAGTACTGTGATAGTGACTCCCACTTCCAATTGGCCAGCCTCCATCACTTGCTACATACATTTTCAAACAGTTACCTTCCTGCTTTTGCCTATGCTGCTACTCATGTATGGGAATAACTCTGCATAAACATGTGAGAAGCTATGCGATTATCCCCGTTCAAAACTTGTTAAAACTCTTCTTGTCTGTAATGTAAAACTTGACAATGGCTACGTTGCTTATGGGCTAAAAGCAAAGTCAGTCATGCTGATCAGTGCTGTCTTGTTGTTACTTTGTATTTCTTTGTCTGTATCCCTCTATTATCTCCTTAGTTCATACTGACAGAACGTCTTTTTGTTTTGTGTTTGTATAGTGCTGTGCTCCATGAGGTCCTGGTTTAAAATGAGGATACCAAGGTGCTTGCAGCAATGCATATAATACAACTACAGGCCACCAGATGGCACCAGTACCTTGAAAACATCCACATTGTCCACTGCATGAAATGTCAGTCAGATGCTCTTTCAATTTCAGGCAGAGTTATCCATGTCACTCCCAAATGTAAATGGAACCCATAGTCATAAAAGTGACTGTCATCACACTTCACTGTGGTAGCTATGAAGTGAAGTCATAGTTTCACAAATACATCTTCAGTATCATAAATATAACTGATTACAGAGTACAGAGAAGTAGTCATGTTACTCTGAAGTGAGGCACAAAGTAGGGCATAGTGGCCCCTTAGAGACGTAAATTGTTCAGAAAGACATAAGCTTATGTAGGCAATTGCCTACTTTGTCAGCAACTGATTAAAGCTAATGCCTTTCTGAACACGTTAAGTTTCTAAGGTGCCACCTTGCTTTCTGCCTGATTATACAGATGATAGAGACAGAAATCTTGATGGAAAAAAAGTTGTTCTCCTGTTACCGCTGTTATTTATATTGTTTTTTCTTTTTTTTCTTTTCCCAGGCAATACTTGACAGTAATTTGAAAATATTCCTTTTAGAAACTTTGGGCTCCTGTAGATGTGAGGGAATCTGTCCCAGTCCAGCATGTCACAGCAGATTCAATTAATTGCATGGAAAGTGATGCGCTTTGACAGCTTTCTGCGTCATGT